GGGGGGGGGGACGCAACTCAAAACACGAGTCGCCGGCACGCCCCGCGTGACGAGAGACGAGGCGCGCGCGCGCAGCTTACGCTCGCGGAGAACAGCACGATACGAGATGTAACTCAAGTCTGGTCGAAAACACTCGTTCCGCTTCAAGAAACGGTGGGCGGTGGGCGTTGCGGTGATATACACGGCACGGCGTTTGGTGCGGGGGCGCGTGTGTATATTGCGTCTGCGATTGCAAGAGGCCCAGGCGGGCCCAGGCCCGTTTGCGAATGGTGCGCTGCATTTGGCTCAGTGACGTCAGGGGCGAGGCAGGGCCTAACCTACCCCACCTCGGGCAGGCCACTAACCACGACCAGATCCCGGCGGGAGCAAGCCCGCGCTCCACTACAATGACCTGGCGGCCGGCCAACCCCGCCGCGAGGGGCCCGCGGGCACCGCCAGGGCACCACCGCCAGGGCAGCGCCGCCGGGGTCACCCCAGCCCCCCTTGCTCCTGTTCGGTCCCTGGGGCACCCTAGGCGGCTCGCACCGCCATACACGGATAGGGCAACATTGCGACCCCGTCCCCCCCTTTTTAGCCGATTATACCCTTTTTCGTCGAAATATATTGTTCCCAGTTCCGGTGATTTGAGATTTGTGGCATTACAGTTTTGACATGGCCATCAATGTAATGGTACAATCAAGTATGTAAAAATGCAACCCCCTAAACGCCATGGTATGAAACGGAAGCTACACGAAATACGTGACATTTCACACAAAAAAGAAGAAAATTGAAGCCTGTCCTATCGGCATGATGCGGCGGCAGAGGGCATTGCCTCACTCACTCACCCTGCCCTGGGTGTCGCGGTGGTTGAGCGTGCTGGGGGGCGGGTTCCTCCGGAGCAGCTCCAGGAGCGTGTGGTGGTCGCCGTCCCTGGCGGCCGTGAGCACGGCGGCGCTGCTGCTGCCCTGGTGGCCGTGCAGGCCGTGCAGCCCGTGCTGGAGGTGGGCCGAGGAGGACCGCGCCATGGCCGCGGCCGGCCCGGGGCCCGAGTTACTGCTGCTCCACGGCGAGCGTCCCTGCTGCTGTTGCTGCTGCTGCTGCGGCGGCGGCTGCGGCTGTCCCGGCTGTCTCATGGACGTCGACTGGTGTTGTCTGCCGGCCCAGGGAGACCAGCCGCCGCTGTTGCTGTTGGAGCGGTGCTGGTGGTGGTGGTGGTGGTCCGCGGCGTGGTGGGGCTGGCCCGTGGGCTGGCCCCCTCCCCCTCCGCCGCCCTCGTCCCCGCCGCCGCCGCTGGTGGTAGTGGGCAGGTCGAAGCGCACCCGCCGAGGACGCACCGCTGCACCGTGCCCCGAGATCAACGACCCCACCTGCTCATCAAAAAAATAAAAAAACAACAATGATAAATTAACAAAAAGGAAAAAGAAAAAAAATAGCACGAACGCGTAAAAAATGATAAATAATTTCAGCAATAATCATGCAAGAACATCCCCGGCAATTCTGTGGTCCTTGAAGCGAGGCCTTTTAACCCTCTCAAGCCGCCGCAGCTGTAAGTCATTCGGAAGTTCCCCCTTCCCCCCATTAGGCAAGAAGGAAAAATAAAAAGAAAGGACAGAAAGTAGTAAAAACACGCCGAAAATAATTTGGCGGTCCGCTTTACTTTACAGCCGACGCGGAGGAGCCCCCGTTTAACGCCCCGAGGGGTTTGTTTCTGCGGCCCCTGCTGGTGGTTTTATTCTGCGGGGGGGGCCCTGGGGGCCCCCTGGAGGCCGCGGGGTAGGCAACCCACGGCCAGCCGTGCGCGCCGGGTCTGCCTATGCCGCCATTGACAGGCGCTCCAGGCAGCGACCGTGTGGCCCAGCGGGGGGACCCTCTTGGACTCGGCGCACGGCACTGACTCTTCGACGGCGACCTGGAGGCGGTGGGGTAGGCAACCCACCCTGTGCACGGCGGGTCTGCCTATGCCGCCATTGATAAGCGCTCAAGGCGGCGGTGGTTGTGGCCCAGCCCTCCTGGACTCGGCGCACCGCACTGACTCCTCGACGGCGACCTGGGCCCGCCAGTGTACACACCTGTCCCGGGTGCTGGTTACTCGCTCCCCAGCGGTCGGCGGATCCCGAGGAGGAAATCAGGGTGTCCCTGCTGAGGCCGCCGTAGGAGCCCGCCAGGTCGCGGTAGTGCACGGTGACCCGCAGCGGCTCCTGGAGGACAGAAGAGAGGCACGCGTTATGCCGAGGCCTCGCGGAAGCAGGCTTCCTCCGTGCAAGGCGCGAGACGCGGGACGCAGTTTCGAACAAATATTTTTTGGCGGGACTCCAGCCGGGTGGCGATACTCCTCGCCGGTGCCGTGACGGGGGGCAGCGGGGTAGCGCCGCCGCCGGCCGGCGAGCTTCAGCAGCAGGAGGCGCGGCGAGGGCCGACGCGGAGGCCTCGGATGCGAGAATAGCGTGGTCTGCGAGGCTCGCGGCCGGGCGCGCACAACGCCACGGCCTCGGCCACGGCCCTCGCGACCTCCAGCGCGGCCCTTATCTCCTGCATCGGCAGGGTCATTGTCGCCCGTCGGTGTACCCGCGCGGGGGAGACGCATCGAACATCGATTCACAATTAACTTTGCTTTGCCTGTACTAGGCCACACCACGCTACACCTCCTTGCTGGCCGCACCACCACCTCTGGAATGGCCGATGGTATCAGACCCATCGGCCGACGCCGAAGGCTCCGAAACAACCACCTGCCGCCCGGCGTCCAGGCGCCAGGGGCTGAGTGCTGCACTCTGCGACTCGCTCTGCGACGGGAGTATGGTCTAAACACGTGTATTGGTTCCCGAAATAGTACAACACACGAACCTCCAACTTCCAACTCCTAATGGCGACTGACGCGCTTGGCATCCCCTGCCCCCAGCCAGGCCGTTGCGCTTCCAGCCGGGCGGCCTGCGCCGACGGGGTGAATCCCTTACGTCAGCTGGACAGCGGTTTCGATCACTTCTCTGCCTGGCATATCGCCGATGTTCGCTTGTCCAGCTGACAGTCGCGGTTGGTGGGCGCCAATATTTGAACTCGCCTTCTTGAGTCAAAATTAATCAGTTTGCCCACAACAGCACCACCACCTCTGGAATGGCCGATGGTATCAGACCCATCGGCCGACGCCGAAGGCTCCGAAACAACCACCGGCCGCCCGGCGTCCAGGCGCCAGGGGCTGAGTGCTGCACTCTGCGACCCGCTCTGCGACGGCCTTCCGCTCTGATGAATGGGTTATCGCGCAGCCAAACCCAACCCTCCGGCGGGGGAACGGAATTATGGAGAAATATTTCGAAGTTGCAGCGGTTTTCGTTATGGCACCCTAAAAGTACTATAATAACACTACATTTATAATTGGAAGGAGAGCAGGGCCTTTCTTTCGGGCCCTCTTACCCTTGCACACTGATGACCCCATTGTCCAACCGGTAAACACTGCATACACGAGTTTGCGCCGGTTGGACATTTCGGTCACCAGTGTGCGTAAGGGGAGGGGGGGGGTATTTCGAGGGAGTAAGGAGTATCTCGCGGGGGTGAAGAGTATCTCGTGGGGGCTGGGGAGGGAGCGCGTTGTCCGGGATACGTCTGCTAATAGCTGAGTTGGCCCCGGCGGGCGAGGGCAGAGATCTAGTCCAAGGCGCTGCCCTGCTTCGCCTGCTGCCCATGCTAATGGCATGCACGCGGGAGGTGAAAGGAGGGGAAGAGGGTGGGGGGGGGGGCGAGCGGGTGCGGCGGTGAAGGACCCCTATCGCCTCGCGCCATCACGCACCTGGAGCACGCGTGGGTGCCGCCACCCCGCCCCACCCACTACGCCACTCATCATAGTCCGAAATAATTCAGATGGGCACCATGAGAACACCTTGGGGGATCTATCGTATGAATCCTATATAGAGATGGTGGATCATATGAAGAAACCGTGAAGGGAACGGTAAGAGTTGGACTCCGTGCAATCCCATAAATGTTACCATGAGATTTTTGGTCGTTCCCGCCACAGTGTGCCCCCATGATTTTACTTTCCCTGTGAATTTTGGACGATACTTTTACGTTTTTATTTTAAGAACACTTTTTGACTGTCTAGAAACCAAATGAAATAAAAAGTGTCATGTATTTCGCGGCACTGGCACTGCACCCCCAGGCCCGGCCGTGTCGTGACGTCGTGACTCAGTTCTGCGAGTCAGTGCACGCGTGCACTTTGCACACCTGCATTCTATAATGCGTTCTGTCACCGGGTGGGCCAGGGGGTTAAGGTGAGCGCCCTGCGCGCCGCCGGCCCTGCCCTTCGCGGGGTCTAATTAAATGCATCCGGGGAGGGGGAGGGGGG